CACACACATTGACATAATAGGAGTACAGTTACATAACCAAAGCAGACCTATAATTACCAGCCATCTCCAGTGAAACCAAGAAAACCAGTTGGGCACCTTAGGCATTTGTGAAAACTTATCTATGATATGGTGAGTATTGTCCAACTGAACTTGAACAGTCCTAGAGAAATCAGACAAATTAAAACAACCCATTCCTGGGGACTGTTCACATCCCGTATGTTCTTTTAACAGTAGATAGTCTGTAGTTGTAAGATTTTGGAGCGCTACAATTTGCACTTCTCCTAATTCTTGGTTGAGTTCCAACTGTATAGATCCAGTCAAATTTGTTGTTTTACTGTATGCACAGGCCAGCTTAGATATCTCCTTCTTCATTCCCATGTCTGCCCCTTACTTTAGGAAGAGCTTTGTGGTGGGAGTTTTAGTTTGCAAGCTTTCATTTCCACTGCATTCAACAGATGATGCTGATGGGGGCTTCCCTCCTTTGGCCTACTGTTGAGTAGAACAAAACCCTACAGCTTTTCCTAAACAATTGAAACATGCACAGAGCCCTGTAGGTATGTTTAATTGTGGTTACCCACTAGCAACTATGGAGAAATACAGAGAGGAAGAAATAAAAAAGTAAAAGCTTACAAGCTAACAAGTTTCCCCTCAAAAGTTGCACCAATGTTCACTGGATGCAATGAGCAAGAACTCTCCATTACTTTTCTTTTGCTCAAACCCTTCTCCACTCTTAGGAGCTCCTGACAACCTTCTCTTCCTTTTTACCTCCAGAATTGGTGGGTGTGGGTCTCATTCCCTCATAAAACAAGGCTCCATCCAATATCTACTTTTCTCAATCGTTTGGCTCTTGAAATTCAGTGAGTCATCCTTTTCCATTTTAGAGTGTTTTTGATTAACCTCTTGGGGGCAGCAATCCCTCAGTACTTAATGACATTTTCCCAGATGGGATGATGTAAAATTTCCAGGGCATCCCTGTCTGGCTTAGGTTTGTCTTCTCTTTGGAGTGTATTATGATGTCATTGTTTTAATTCTATGCTTCATTCCTCTAACTAAAATAGTAAAACTATGAATCAGAGTCAGATGTCTATAAATTAACAGAGGACAAATTTTCATGTTCAATGAAAGAAGCAGTTGATAAATGGCTCACGACTTAATTCATTTTTTTTTCTGAAAATCTATAGTGAAGAATTCATTTCTTTCATTAAGTCACCCAAAGAATTGGATTGTTCTTTTACTGTTTTATGTGTTTGTTTCAATATCTGACTGTAACCTCCATGAGGTCAAAGGCTGTAAGTTATGCTTTCCATTTAATTTTGTAACTAGCCCAGTACTTATTAATGTATTAATGTAGGTACTTTACAGTGTGAAAGCTGTTGGTTTGAATGGAATTAAATTCTTTAAGTGTCCATTTTAGAGAAGACATAAGGTCAGATAATTTGGACACAAAGATACATTGGATATAACCCCTTTATTCTCAATAAATGTCTTTTTTATCTTTGTGTCCCAGGTCTTTATGTATTGTTTTGAATAGGTAATAGAGACACATGGTTCCAAATTAAAACAATATATTGAGATTTATTTGGAGAAGTGTAGCTCCCACTCATGTCTCTGTCCATCCCCCCTTCCAAGGCAATCAATCCTGGTTGGTAATCATTTTTATTAATTCCATGCATCCTTTTAGTTTTCTTTATGCAGACACAAGCAAATATACACATATATGTATGTTATTATTTTCCAAAAAAGTTAACATACAGACCATTCTGACCTTGCTTTTTCTACTGAATGTATTCTAAAAATCTTTTTATATCTGCACATAGAGAGCGTTCTGGTCCTATTTTTAAAAAATGACTGCATAGTATTCATTATGCTAAAGATTGTTTAACCCAGAATTTTTCATCCTTGGTGCTATTGAAATTTTGAACAGATAATTTTTGTTATGGAGGTTGTCCTAAGCAGTGTGTAATGTTTAGCGACTTTCTGGCCTTTACCTGCTAGATGCCAGGGGCACCCTCCCCAGTGTGACAGCCAAAAATAAATCACCCTAGCTAAGAACTCCTGGTTTAAACAATCCTCTAATGGGGAACATGCAGCTTGCTTCTGTTCTTTTAGTATCACAAACCATGCAGTAATGAGTGATCTTCTATGTATGTTATTTTGTACGCGGGCGTGGTATAAATTACTAGCCATAGGATGGCTGGATTAAAGTGAAAGCACCTTGTAAGTTTGGAAATATTGTGAAATTCCCCCCACATCCCCAGGGGGTCGTGCCCTTTTGAGTCTCATCAGTAAAGTATGAAATCATGAATATCTTTCCATGTAACAAGTGAAAACATAAAGACACATGAAGAATCATGACAGGGTCTGGTAGGCTCTGAGAGCTTACCAGGGGGCAGAGTTGTGCAGCTCACAGGGAGAGCAGGCAGCTGAGAGGCCGGGGCACCCACTGGGAACAGTTCCTATGAAAAGAAGATGGGTAAGTCTTTATGAAATAGAACATGGAGCCAATAGCAGTGTGTTGGCCAGAGAGTGGGGGCAGGATAGATTGTGGTCCGCGTGTGAGACCAAGCTGGGGGCACATGGGAGACGAACCAGCGTTGGGAGGGATCGAGGCCTGGACCCCCAGAGCTGTTGTAGTGGGCCAGTGAGAGACGCCGGAGGAATGTGCTCAGGGCAGAGACAAGGGCGGAGGGTGGGGAAAATGGAAGCCCTGGCTGACACCCCGACTCCACTCCAACGAAACTGACTTCAGATTTGCGGCCTCCCATGCATTGTTTTAAGCCTACATTTGTGATAACTTGTTATAGAGCAATAGGAATCTAGTAACTATTAAAAATTTCTTTTGTTCTTACCCACCTCAGTAGGTACATAGTCTGGTGATCAAAAACACAGGCTTTAGGGCGAGGCTTGTGGCTCCGTTTACTCCGTGTGACTTACGCAGGTTATTGAATCCCAGTCTCCTTCACTTTCCTCCTCTGCAAGATGGGCATATTTGTTTTTACCGTACAGATGTGGGGAGATTTTGCTAGGTCACCTGTAAAAGCCCTCAACCCAGTGTCTGACGTAGACGAGGCTTTCAATGTTAGGGTCTAGGACTCCGGGGTTTCCCAGAGAACAAGACACATGGACACGGAGATGAAAATCCAAGCAAAGTCTTTATTCAGCCAGCAAGCTGGGGTCGACATCACCTCCCCTGACACGCAGGCCGAGTCCGAGCTGCCGACCCCGAAGCAACTTTGGGTATTGATTATATAGGATCTTCACAGCAGTTACACCAAAGCCCGCGCAGTTCTACAACTAATAGGTTTTAAACACACTCTATATTGTAACCAATGGGAAACATTGTAACCTTTTTAGGGAACGCGCCAGTTGCCTGCCCGCTTCAATTGTTATCTCTTGCTTGCCCAAGCATGTCTATGTGACTTATCACGGGTTAAATCCCCAGGCGTTCCCAGGCTGTTGCCCACTTCTAGTTATCTAACTTAGGGTAGGCGCATTTCTCAGAAGCCTCGGGTAATTTACATAAGAAAAGACTGGGTGGCTCTCGCTCTAGGCAGTCAGGTTAAGTGTCCTTAGTTCTTTTTCCTGACTTGATGCTCTCTGCACTCCGTTACATCAATATTTGTCCAAAACTAGCCCCGGAGGAGTGAGTAACCACTAAATCATTAAGCAGCCCTCATCCTCCCTGCCAGGCATTCAAAATAGGACTCAATTTACTACAAGTATGTTTGAATCTATCTTTTCAGGAACCCAAATAACTGCAGCTCTGGTATGTTTTCAAGCTGTCGCTTTATCGTCTCTTTTCTCCTTCTGTTAATCATGGAAATGGAACATTTAAAACTTTTGGATGAGTGGAAAGATGACAAATTATTTCAGGGAAGCTGTATCCTCCTGTCTGTCTGTTCAAGCTGCTATAACAAAATACCAAATACTGGATGGCTTCTAAACAACCACCATTTTTTCTCACAGTTCTGGGGGCTGTGAAGTCCAAGATCAAGGAGCCTGGGTGTCTGGTGAGGATGCACTTATGTATTCATGGATGGATATTGTTCTGCTGGGTTCTCAAATGGCAGAAGGGAGAAGGGATCACTTTGAGGGGCTCTTTTAAGAAGGTCCGCAGTTGTGACCTTTTCTCCTCCCATCTATAATGGCTTACGATAGTAGTTGTACTTGTAAAAGCCCTTATTTAGAAAACAAAAACACTTAGTGGAAGAGATTAGTTTGAACATGATTTAAGTGAAAGCCTCATAATTTTGGTAGCTTTTAGGACTTTCTCGGCTTCAAATAACAGAAATCCCAACTCAAACACTATGAACACTTATGATGTGACCATAACGGAATGTCCAGAGGCAAGGTGGATTTCAGGATTTGGTTCAGTGGCTCCGAAATCCCTGGTGTCATCTTCGTCACCAGCCGGGTAGCGTGATGTCTGTTGCAGACTATCCCCCAGGCTCCCAAAGGTTAGAATCCTGAGCCAGTTGGTGGCAAGGAGAATGAGATTATACTGGGATGGGGTGTGAGGCCAGCTGCCCCTCGAGAGCCCTGGCTACCCAGGGAAAGACATCCATAGGAATTTGGGGGTCTGTGAGGGAGGAACAGCAGGGGAATGACTGCTAGCTACGCAACAATAATCATATACAGTTGATGTAAAAAAAAAAATTGAATGCCTTTGGAAAGTGTTTCAAGCTTTTCTCAGGAAATCACCCACATGTCAAAAGGAAATTATTGAAAACATTAAAAAATGGCTAAGCATACAACTTCTGAAGTCAAAGTTTTAATCTTCAAGCATTTTTTTTTTTAGTGAAAAAAGACAACCGTATTTTCCAAAATTTAAAAATTAATTTGGGGTTGAGATATACTGTAGAAAGTTTCATGTGAGAAGATGGTTTAAAAATTTTTAAGAGCTTATTGAAACAATATCTTATTACTATAGTCACAAAGCTTTGATAAACATTGCATGAAAAAACCTCACTGTTTAATTATAAAAATCTATAAAATTTTTCTGGGCAACTGCTAAGTGACAGGACAGTGATATATATATATATATACACACACACACATATATATATATACACATGCATTATATATAATGTATATATGTCTAATGTATATAATGTATGGTATACATGTACTGTTATTTGTGCATATAAATTGATATAGAAAGAGTATAGAAGTGTTTCTGTGTGGATGCAAATATCATTATTGCTCCATTAGAATACCAATACTCTATGTTCTCATATTGATAAAATATTCTCTCACAAGGCTCTCATATAATTGGCAAGTTTTCTACTTTTTGAGTTTTTCTGGAATTGTTGCTCGTATTCTGGTCCTATTTGCCTCTATCACAAGGCTTCCCCCCTTGGACTATATCCTAAGGCTGTTACAGTCCTTTTTGGTCTATTTATTATAAAAAGAGACAAAGTAGGTAGCTATATTTCACTCACAAACATAATGTTAAAAGGCCTTACACCTGAGGCATATTAAAAAATGTTAAAATTTCCTTACACCTGAGGAAATACTAATGGGAGTTGAAGAGATATAAAATAAAAGAAAACCACATTTTGGGATATTGTTTTGCTTAAAATTGTTAGTAGCCCTAAATTCTCCTTTTTTCTGTAGAGGGATTATTTAATCACAGTAATAGAGATTTTTCATTTCTAGGGCAATTTGAAGTATCCTGTGAAGGTTTCACATTGACTCATTATTATTAACCTCAGGGAGCAGAGGAATGTAGAGAAACACTGTGTTGAGGGGTGGGAGGAGCTCTTTAGAGGCTGAGAGACTTAAACATAGGAGACTATCAGTTATTTAAGAAATAAAGTGTTTAGTATAAACAGCATTGGGAGATTCATAAACACAGAAGCATGGCACATAATAAGGCTAACTTGGGCTTTAAATATTGAAAGGGTAAAATTAAGATGTTTAAACAAACCTCAGGTTTAAAGTCGTGTTTAAATCCCTTTATGTGTACTCTCCCTTCTTAAAATATGTTATTAGCTATGTCAATACATAAGTGATACCCCTTTATAATCACTGCTGTGAAAGCCTGAAGGCTAATTATACAGCTTCTGTATCGTATCTTGCCATTGATCTTCAAGGTCTTTCCCCACTTCTCAGCTCAGCCCGAACCCCCCTCCACCACCCCTTGCCCAGAGCGCTTTCAGAACCTCCAAGTCCACTCTTAAAGCTACGTGGGCATTCTATGCATAGTTGTGGCCGCCGTCTGCAGGGCCTGGTAGTTTTCTTGTCTGTCTTTCCTATTTCAGCGTGAACTCTTTGAAGGCATAGGCTATACCTTACTCACTTTTGTGTCCATCATTATGAGCACAGTTTGTGACACATCGTATTCAATCTACATATTGGTGAAACAAAATAAAGACAAGCAAAATAAAGACAGATGTACTTTTCTCATCTTGGTTTGTCTTTAAAAAATTCCCATGGCTGTCTTTGAAATATTTACCTGTTAAACAGCACCAGGACTTCCATGCCACTTTAGCCGGTGGGTGCTGACGCTGTGGCCGGCTCCTCGGTGGATTCCTGTGGCGGGGGGATGCTGAGGGGTGCGTCGCCTCTCCCGGTGGGAAGCAGACCAGCCAGGGACTCGTGTAGACGGTTTAAGACAAATGATTTTCCCTCAACTATTCAGACAGTGGAGTCTGAGTATATTCAAGCTGTTGTGGGGAGATGTAGATTAAGCATTATTTATTTAAGTTAGGTTGAATAGACTGCACAAATGGCTAATTCAAGATAAAATCCACTTTGGGTATTGTAATGCTCTAATTACTTACTTTAATTCTGATAAGATAATTGCCAAGTCTGGTTTTTTTTTTTCTGTTAGGCAAATATCGCTGCAGCGTGTCACCCGGGTAATTGTCTTGGGTTGCCTTTCCTGACTGATATGTTTGAAGGGATTAGATTCACTTTCTGTGACTAAACGATAAGGAGCCAAGAAAAAGAAGCCGCTGAACCATTGATGTGGCAATAATAGTTGTGAGACTGGGCTTCTCGCTGTATTGGGAGCCTCATAATTGCAGGGGTTCAGGAGTCTCTTTGGCTCTGAAAAAGCGGTCTGAGTCTCAGGTCTGTAGAGATGATCCCCAGAGGGAAGAGGGCGGGAGTCAGGCCTTGAGGCCCTTCCCTTGGTGCAGCAGACAGTTAAAGACCGCCTGGAAGACATACTTTTCATTTTGGGAAGCTAGCATCCAATCCATAGGCATGTACCTGATATCTCCGGTGGTCGCTAGTTGATGGCGGAGTTGATGTTGTCATTGCATCACCAGGCATCTGGGGAGAAAAGAAATTGTGAAGTGTTGAAACTAAGTTTTGCCTGAAAAAAAATTTTTTTAAAAATCTTCAGACCAACCTGTTCATACTGAGCAAGGCAAAGACAGCTCTTGTGTCGAACAAATAAGCCATTAATTAAAGCTTTGATTGAACAACCCATTTCACATTTATATCCTAGTTAAATGGAATATACAGTGCATTCATTTAAAAGAAAAAAAATGGTTAATTTTCCTTACTTTTTGCCTTGAGTCATTTTGCTATTTTTTTCATATAAAAAATTCCATTAATTATAAGACCTTTGCTCTGTGTCATTACCCTTTCAAATATGAGTGCTTAGTTTTTAAAATGTTTAATTATACCTGCAAAAGAAGATATGCAACAGATTGTATTTGTTGTATTTAAATTAGCATCATCAAAGTAAAATAACTTCTAGTCACATTACACAAACATCACTTTATTTCTTCCTTAAGGTGAAAGAAATAAAGCAATTGTTTCCTCAACAATCACTATCATAATGACTTCAAAATGTTTAGACATCTATGTGACTGACCTACTGAATATCATTAAAAAAATATAGAGGAAGAAAAATATCTGTAAAATAATATTTTAACAAGGAAATAAAAATTGGATTGCCAGCTTACTTGTTTAAATGAATCTGGTCAATTAGCTGTTCAGTACATAAAAAATTAATCAGAAAATCACCTAGACTCAAATTTTAAAGCAAATTTTGTCTGCAATAAGATCCGATCTTGAGAATTCTGTTAACTATGATATTCTCTACTATAAATCTCAACTGTAGCCTTTATTTTTTTAATTAGAAAAAAGCACAGATGAAAAGAAAAAGTAACATTTATTTATGGACACTCCCCCATATCAATTATTTAGTTATTTTAAATTTAGGAAAGCCAGTTTTACATATATGATGTATCTTCAATGAAACAGTTCTAACATACCTTAAAGCTGAACATTTGGGAACTTCTGGACTAGATACGGTTTTCTTTGATTTATGAAGGGAATTGGTTCTGGCCTTTTCTATTCTCCCAGTTTTTGCTGTTCAATGACTTTATTCTGAAGAATCACAAGCTTTATCTAAGCAATTGTTAACATCAGAAACAAACGCAGACCAACCTTGAAAATTCCCTGAGCAGACAAGACCAGTTTCGTCATACAAATAAAGCTTATTTGGCAAGACTGACTTGACATGAGTCATTTCTTGCTTATGCCTCAGGAAATCCTAAGCAAAACTTGAACTGTTTCCCAAGGTTGATATGAGGCAACCGCTGACCAGTTTCCTGTCAATGTAGTCTCCTTCCATAAGCTGCTTTGTAATGATAGACCCGAGCCCACCCATGTTTTGGTTTAAGGGCTCCTGGTCTGCAAACTATCATATTGGTGCGCGCATAATAAACTTTTACTAATTACTACTCTGGTTATTCATCAGTTTTGCTCTTGTTATTTCTGAACTTTTGACACAATGCTTCTCAGATTTTAATGCATGTGAATTCCTGGGCATCTTGTTATAAGGCAGACTCGGATTCTGCAGGTCTGGGGAGGGATCTGAGACTCTATATTTCTAACAGATTCCTGGGGGTTGCTGACACTGCTGGTCCCACAACCATGCTTTAAGCATCAAGACCTTAGAGAGATGTTTTATTTTAAACCTTTCAGATGACTCAGCACTCCTTGAAAACTGGCTTGCTGGGCAGAGTTGAGGCCAGGAATGTACATTATAGGAGATAATCCCCCTTGCCCAATCTTCCTACTGCTTTAAAGTATTTACTACGGGACAATTTCCTTAGCATTGTAAACTTGAGCATCTTTGAATAACAGCCAATTCATTCTTTTGAAGAAAGGCAATCTTCCTTTTAAAACAACTCTCAAAATAAATTTCTGTTATAAAACAAAAAGTCTTTAAAATAATTTAAAAATCTATTTAAAAAATAAACTCAGAAGGCAGAATTTGTATATATTGAGTGAAACCTATTAATAGTTACTTAGAATCCAGGAAGTAACAAAATAAAATCCTCTATCCCCAGAAACAGATTTGTTTTATTTTCCGAGTACTGACATCTACCAAAATAAAAGTCTGTACCCAGGACTTCAGGATTTCTGTCTGTGTTTCTCAGAGATAGTATTTTAAATTCATTATAAAAGTGATCCCGTCTGTATCTGGGAAGGAGAGTATTATTCATTTTAACTTTGATCTGACCTGTTGTCTGTGGTATTGTGGTAGGTGAAAAAGAACTAGTGTCATCTATCTGTTATCCCAAGGGAGACTAGAAAGTCTAGTAAGTTTTAAAATTTCATAAAGAAGTGTGGGAAGCAAGTAGTATTCGGGTTTCTCACTTAGCAGTGCAAAAGCATTTTTGTTTAAATAATATTCAAGGGCTATATGTTAATAATAACAGAAACCTCCTTTGAGCTTCAGCTTCAGCCTGGATGTGTGGGAAGGCACTGCCGTCCAGTCAGTCTTCACTTGTTTCGATTCTTCATTTCTTGGTGATGAAATGTGTTAAATAGTAAACATACCTTTTAGGCATATGCTTTCTCACTTCACAGGTAATTTAGATGGGGGTATCTCAAAGTGGGGTACCCGAATCAGCAGAATCAGCATCATCTGGAAACTTAGAGGCACCTTCTCCCATCACATACCACGTCTACTGACCAGAAACTCTGGGGGCGGGGCGCAGCCACCTGAAGCTTAAGAAGCTCTCCAGGTAATTCTGATGGCAATTTAAACTAAATCAGTTGTTCCCAACAGAGGCAATTCTCCCTCACACTCTTCTGGGAACATGGACAATTATCTGGAGACGGTCTATGGTTGTCCCAGCGGCAGGAAGGACGCTGCTGCCATCTAGTGGGCAGGAATTTCCTGAAAGTGGGCAACTTCAGTCAGCAGAAAGGCAGCATGGATAGGGAATGAGCAAGGGTCTAGAATTTAGGTTCTGGCTCTGCTAATTAAGAGTTGTGTAATTTCATGTAAACCTCTTAATCTCTCCATTTCAGTTGTCTCATTTATAAAGTGGGGATAATCTCGACCTATTGCATAGACTACTATGAGGATCAAATGAGATAATGTGTAGGAACACATTTGTGTAAACTGAACACAGTAAACTGTAATGCCAGTTAAATGGAATGGAAGGATTTTTTCCAGTAGAAGGGAGACAAAGAGCAGAGGTGGTGCAGTGGGATATAAAAGGTTAGCATGTCAGATTCAGCTGTCTAGAAATAATCAGACTCCCTCATGCAAATCTGAGTTGTGCTAAAGATTTTTTTCCTCGGTGTTGCTTATATTCTTTCTCCCATGACTGCTTGAGTTTAGCTGTTCTTACATTTAGGGGCTGTGTGATACAGAATTAGCATGCCCTGACTGCTAGAGGTTCTTAAACGTTAGCCTGCACCACAGTCACCAGGAGGTATTTTTGATATTTCATTTTATTTTATCCTTGCCAGCACTTACTACTCTTATCACAAGAATCCTGCCAAAGCTTGTTAAAATGTAAGTTGCCGGGCTTGATCTCTAGAGTGTCTCACTCAGTAGGCTAGAAAGGTCCTGAGTGGTGTCAGTAGTATTAATGTGGGATTCACATTTTTAAGAAATGCTCTATACGGTGTCACTATTTAGAAGATAGGAAGTGGTGGTTATGCCAAGCTTTGGTTTTGAGGTTTTTTTGTCAAACTTCTTTTGATGTAAGGAATCACCCCTGGTAGAAGCCATCTCCCTTATTAATTCCTTGCCTGAAAAGCCCGTTTCTCTTTCCTATTTTCAACAATGTTAATGATTTTAGCAATTTAGCAATAATGGTTTTGGCTAGTTCTCGGTTAGTTGAGGCCACTTCAGCAATCATATTTAATGACAGAGGATGCTTAGTTGGCTTAAACAGAGGGAGGGTGTCCTGATGTATTTTCAATAAGGAATAATTTTGTTATTCTTTGTTCTGTTAGTATTTGTGTTTAGGTCAGGAATTATTGTACTATCAAACAAGCAACATCCTGAAGATGAAGGGGTGGGTGTGACCTGAAGCCTTTGTCCTTCAATTGTTTTCACAGTGTGGCCCATGGACTCTTTGTCTCAGAGTAAATTGGGATATTTGCTTAAAATGCAGTTTTCTGTACTTGCTCCAGAGGTGATGGTACCCAAATATTAGTTTCTTTGGAGGGACGCTGAGAAGGAAACCTGCAGGGCTCTGGACAGAGGGACATCAGCAGAATGGCAGAATAGGAGTTTCTAGCACCTTCTCCCCAAAGAACACTGATGAGCCTACACTGACACGCCATGATCCCTCACAGTCCATTGTGTCCCTGGGCGTTCCTGCCCTTCTATGGGTTTGGACAAATGTATAATGACATGTCTCCATCATTCTAGTGCCATGCAGAGCATTTCTGCTGCCCTGGCAATCCTCTGTTCTAGTTTCAGTCTTACGTCTCCATCGTGCTGTGTAGATCACGACATAACACAAGTTGCTTCAATAAATCTCTGCTATATATTAAGGTACTTTTCTCATTCTGTGTCTCTGAAAATCACTGCATTTTTTACATTGAAAAGATCCGTGGAGATTATTTAGCTTCCCTTGTTTTCGTTAAAGTTGGGGACACTGAGGTACAAATGGATGGGGTGTTTGATCAAGGTCCAACAGCTAATTAAAGACAGAGGTGGAGCATTTCTGCCTTCCATGACATTTCTCTGTCATTTCAGACTGAACACAGAGCAGCAGTATTGGCAGTCTTATTAGTGCTAGTCCTATGGGTTTTTTTTAGAGTAAGGTTTTTTTTCCATCGTTAAAGACATTAACAATTATTTTCCTAGGCTCTTTTCCTTGTTTTCTAGCCACGTCAGACTGCTCACTTCCAGTCCTTGAACAAAACAATCATTTTCAACACTCTATACTTTTGCTTATGCTGTTTCTGTTTCCTAGAATGTCCATCCTTTCTCCGACGCAAATCTCAGCTCTGTAAAGACTTCCTAACCTAACTCAACGTATTTCTTACCTTCTGAGCTCCTGTTGAATTCTAAATATAGCTTGCCACGTTGTAGAGAAACACTATCTCCTTTCATAGCCTACTAAATGACAATGTGTGATTGCTAATGATAAGCTGAAGTGTCAAACAAGATAAATATAGAGATAATAAGGGATCCTGCTGTATTTATTTTGAATCCTTCTCATGTCAAGCCAGGACCACCAAATTTACCCAAGGAAAGTAGCTTCTCCCTTTGTATTGATATGTAGCAAGTTCAGGCCATGGGATCCCTCCAGTCCTCTGCGAACAGCATTTTACACTGAAATCCGCATAGTTACCTTCTGCCTATGTTACAGCCCCCAGAATATAACAAGACCTTGCCAATTCCGTGATGACAGCCCACAATAAGAACCACACACATGAGCGCTGGTTACAGCTACCTCCTACCAGCTGTTGGGCACTCAGTAAATATTGTTTGAATAAATATGTCAGGGAATAGAGGAATGTGACCTATAATTTCACCTGGCAGTGAAATGCCAACATATTTTACTCCAGGCAGCAAGGCCCACTCCATGTTGTTTTAATAACTTAGTTGCAGTGCAAGGTTTATCATTCTCCAGTGAAGTATAAAACTAACAATATTTATTTGTGATTACCTTTTGAATGTCCTCCCAATCAGTAGTCATGGCCTACATCAACCCAGGTTGCATGTATTTCTTTATTCTTTTTTATTTTTTATTTTGATATCATTAATGTACAATTACTTGAACATTATGGTTACTAGACTCCCTCTATCATCAAGTCCCCCCCACATACCCCATTACAGTCACTGTCCATCAGCGTAGTAAGATGCTATAGAATCATTACTTGCCTTCTCTGTATATACTGCCTTCCCCGTGCCCCTCCCCACTACATTATGTGTGCTAATCGTAATGCCCCTTAATTCCCTTCTCCCTCCCTTCCCACTCCCCCACCCCCAGTCCCTTTCCCTTTGGTAACTGTTAGTCCATTCTTGAGTTCTGTGAGTCTGCTGCTGTTTTGTTCCTTCAGTTTTTTCTTTATTGTTATACTCCACAGATGAGTGAAATCATTTGATACTTGTCTTTTTCCGCCTGGCTTATTTCACTGAGCATAATGCCCTCCAGCTCCACCCGTGTTGTTGCAAATGGTAGGATTTGTTTTCTTCTTATGGCTGAATAATATTCCATTGTGTATATGTACCACATCTTCTTTATCCATTATTTCTGTATTCTTACACTTAATTTTCCTTGTTACATACTTAATAAGTT